AGCCAAGCACACTTAAGTACAGTGCCAATAAATAACCCTAGAATGACAGGTTGTTAGAGCTACCGATAATTTAAAGATAATCTAGACCAAATTCCTGAAGCAGAAGTCAAGAGAGTGAAGTTCTAAATGTGGGCCCTTTCTTGTCATCAACTAAATACCTTCTATTTATCACCTAACAATGATTCTGACCACTATCCAAGCACTCCCCTAGTTCCAGGCACTCTGCTAAGAGCTCTACATGGGTGATCTCATTTAACCCTCAGAACAACACTGAGGGAGAGACACCATAATTGTTTCTATGTTGTGAAGACTGAAATGGAGGCTTGGAGAGTTTAGTGGCTCATCCAGTGTCACATGGTTGGAGGTAGGAGGGGCTGGGTCTTCTGAATCCTAGTTCAATGGTGAGTCTCTTCTTCTGCACTGGCACAGTTGCAAGTCCAATAAGCTATATTTGAATCACTTATTTGAAAATGGCCAGCACACCTTACTTATCAAATGAGTTTCTAATGGTTCCATGAAACTAAATTCTCAGCCTCACAAATACCCACATACAACTCTTCCTAAGACTATTTTTTTTCCCCAAGATTTTTCACTAAATACCCATTTCTGTCCTGCTCCAGATTTTACTGCCTACTGTGCTGGCAACCTGAAGGCAAGACTCCTTCCCCTTTCTCCCTCCCTCCACAAGCATATTTATAGAACACACGTGAGCCAGGCAGGTGGTAGGCTTTGAAGGGGACACAAAGATGAAGAACACATGCTCCCCATTTTCCAGGTACTGGCAGAGGAAAGGTACGATGGGAATACAGATGCCTGTGACACAGGGCAACCCATAATCAGTGTGCTGGCGAGATAGAAGGCAAACTTAAGTGCTCTAGGAATTCAGAGGCTGGGCTGACTTCTGAGGGGGGGGGGCACCAAAAACTCCAGAAAGGAGATGGCCATTAGGTAGGTCTTACAGGAGTAGCAGAATTTCCACAGTAGATGTGGAGCCTTTCCTTGGACTAGGTCTAAATGCTTCCTGTTTTCTGAATGCCCAGCTTGTGCAGTACATAGAGTACACTGTCTAACAAATTTTCTAGCTGGACACCAGGCACTTGGGACTAGGCTAGTAAACATGGGCTTGAGTCTTGGTTCTGATGCCACTGCTGAACATAAATTGTATAAGTCCTGCCTCTTCTCTGGGCCTCTGATTTTCCCCATCTATGAAACAGAAATATGAAAGAGCTGGATCTAACCCTGCTCATGGATTACCAGTTAAGTTAACGCATGTAAAATTATTTGCAAGCCAAAATGAAATATAAATACAAGAGACTATTTCTCACTATTCTTATTCTTTTTACAAAAACTAAAAATAACCAATGCCATGTGCTTCTCATTTATCCAATAGCCTTTTTTTGAGTAACTACTTGGGGCCAGGCTCTGGGGATATAAAGATGAATAACACTCAGGCTCCGTCCTTGGAATCTGAAAGGTCTAGAAAAAGAGACAGTATGTGCAATTGATAGTATAAGTTTAATGTGCTAGAACAGAGGCTGGGCTAGAGCTTGGCAGGAGCTCTGCACTTTCTCAGTGGTACTTCATGTAGACGGTAATGCTAAAGGCAACAACTTCAAAATCAGACATCGACTGGCATGCTCCAGGAGAAAATAGAATTAAAGGGGAGGAGAAATTTTAAAAAGAAAAGGTTTGAGTGTATACTATGTTCCAGGCACTTTCACATCCATCATCTTCATAACAAGCTAGGTGTTATTATGCCTATTTTATAGATGAGGAAGCTGAGACTCAGGGAGGTTGAGCAACTTTCCAAGGTTTATAAAACTAGAAAGCATAAAGTCAAAATTTAAACCCAGGTTATCTAATTGCAAGTCTGGTGCTTTTCCTGGTACCCCTATTACTTTCTCATCAGTTTAATGTTTTCATATAACTCATTTTATGCTAATCTTGAATGACCCTCTTACTTGGATTTTTTTTCCCCCAGGAGAAAAAGACTGACCTGTGATAAGAGAGATTTGACAGTAACACCTACCACTGACATTTCCTCTTGCACTTCCTGTGATAAACCCCTTTCCTCCTCCTACTCTCTCCTGACTTTGCCTTCTCCTCCAAGCCCAGTGAAGCTGCCAAGGAGTAAAGAATCCCAGCAAATGAAGAACCTGCAAGGAAGCTCCCTGCTTTCTCAGCCACTAGCCTATAAATCCTGGGACAAAACTCACTCAAAGAAGGAAGAACTTTGTATATAATTATGTCCAAGAAGGATTTCGTGTCAGAACAATACCTGATTATGCCTTAATTTTGTGGATCAAAATATGATTGTCAGACTTGCTTATTTTACTGCTAAAGAAAACTGAGACCCAAGAAGATGAAAGGACTTGCTCAAGGTTACACATCAGTGCAAGGCAGAGTCTGGACTGGAGCCTCGGTCTCCTGACTCCTTGGACAATGTTTTTCTACTAAAATAAATTGCCTCTTTAGCTTTTTCCACTAACAACTCAACTTCATGAGATCATAGCCCTTCAAGAAGAAAGCTCAGTGTTGGTGTCTCTGCAAAACCCAGAAGCCCAGGGCTCCCTCCTTGGTCTTCACTCTGATCAGCTCATGTCCTCATCTAAAGAACAGGAAGTGTCTTCATTTTTAGCTCTGAAAGTACATTGTGGGGGTGGGAAAGGGGGATTTGGGGAAGAGAGTTCCTGTATATGATGGTCAAGAGCAATCAGCAGACACTTTACTCTTGCTTGAAGAAGGAGAAGATATAAAGTCAGACATGTAAGGGGAAGATATTAATTCAGACATGTAAGGGGAAGATGGAGGTTGTCCTGGAGTCCTAACCAGAACATGACCTCAGCAAGAGCTTCCCCAAGCCCCAGAGTGGAGGTTGCGGGGCAGATTCTGCTCTGCTGATTCTCTTCTCTGTTTTGATAGGGCTGGATGCCAGAGCAGGGACTGAGATGGCAGCACCAGGGCAGGAAAGTTTTCAGGAACTTTATACAACCACTGGTGCTGCCCCCACTCTCTGCTCGCACCCACAACTTCCCTGCCAAGGCAGGAAGGAGGAACACATTATTCAGTTTAATAATTTATACAAATTGAAAAGTTTACTGTTGAAATAAATGGGACTTAAGAGGACAACAGAGAAATAAAAATTCCTAAGTCCTTTCTTAAAGAATGGGGGTATGGAGATAATATTTCTTGATGACCTTGTCCTGGAATACAGATGGTCCTCGACTTAGTTTTTTGACTTTATGATGATGCGAAAGCAATAGGCATCCAGTAGAAACCATACTTCGAATTTTGAGTTTTGATCTTTTCTTGGGCTATCGATACTCTCTCATGATGCTGGGCAGCGGCAGTGAGCTGCAGCTCCCAGTCAGCCATGTGATCATGAGGGTAAACAACAGATGCTGTGCAGTGTACTGTGTTTGCCAGATAATTTTGCCCAACTGTAGGCTAATGTAAGTGTTCTCAGCATGTTTAGGATAGGCTAGGCTAAGCTATGATGTTCAGTAGGTTAGGTGTATTAAATACATTTTCGACTTACAACATTTTCAACTTGTAATGAAAATGGTTTATCAGGATGAAACCCTATTGTAAGTCAAGGAGCATCTGTATAACAATCTGATTATCTATTAGATGGGTGTGAAATAAGCAAGTAACCCCTCCCTTGAACAGCCAGTCAAGTTTTGTCTCCTACTACTGGTGGGATCACAACCTTAGCATTAACAGCCTGGGATATCAAAGCACACAGATCCAGATCCATGGAGTGCTAGGCCTGGAAGAGACTATTTGTCTATTTGATATAGACAAAGACCATTTGTCTATATCAGTGGTTCTCAAACCTGGCTGCCCATCAGAATCATGGGGAGAGCTCATTACAAATTTAGGCTCCCGGGAACCAACCCAGAGATTGATTAGGTAGATCTGGGCTGAGGTCCAGGGATCTTCATTTTCAACAAGCAGGTCTGATTTAAGAACCAATGATCTGGTTCAACACCATTCATCCAGCTATCAAAACTTTTACATGAGATGCTGGTTTTATGGCAAAGAAAAGTGAGGTGGCAAAAGATAGGTTAGTAGCAGCACTTGGACTAGAAGCTGGTGTCCTGCCTGCTGGTAGAGTGCCTTTGCCAATGTCCTTACACATGCCTTCTCTCCCCCAGCTCACCAGCCCACTGAGAAGCTGTAGGGATCATGCAATCCACAGAAGAACCAGCTGCCAGGAGCTTTGACTGAGTACCTATTGGGATTGCTGGTGGAAATGGCTGGTAAGGGATTGGGGGTGCAGGTAGTTTTAAGGGCACTCTCAGAAAGCTGTGTTTTGTATTCTGCTGGGTTAAAATGGAAGGCACAGCTGGCTTCTAAGGCATACAACCCAGTGTTCCAGACAGAAAGGATAGCCAGTTCCTGGAAGCAGCTGCTATGGTAGAGGAACCAGAGTGGTGGAGGCAGAGTGTGTGAGGAGAGAGCAAGAGAAGATGTCTAGAGGTAATGGGAGGCCAGATCACACGGATTCCTAGGCCATGGTACGATCTTGGGCTTTTACTCTGATCCACTGCAGAGTTTTGAGCAGAGGAGTGTCATGATCTGTCATATTTCCACAGGGGTACTCTGATGCGAGGGTGAGAACACACTGCATATAGCAGGGTTAGAAGCAGGGAATCCAGTGAGAAGAGTTTGCAGTAATCCAGGGGACAGAGGATGGCAGCCAGACCAAGTAGCAGTGCTCGGGGTGAGAAGTGACTGGATCCCGGATTGTTTAAAGTAGAGCTAACAGGTTTTCTGATGGGCTGGGTTTGAGAATGAGAGGTAACATGAGGAGTTGAGGGTGTGTCAAATTTTTCGACTTGAGCAACGGGAAGGTTGGAGCTATCATCAACCGAGATGGAGATGGCAGTGAATGGAGAAGGTTTAGGGCACAGACAGCAGAAGGTCAGTTTTAGACATGTTTGAGATACTGTTAAACAGCAAAGGGAAATGCAGCACTGGACTCACAGGCCTAGAGCTTGTGGGAGGCTGGAGACAGGGTTTGAGGCATCATGGATACCCACGTGGTATTTAAATAAAGTCTTACGTTAGATGAGGTCATCGAGGGAGTGAGGACAGACAGGAGAGAAGAGGGTTAAGGACCCTGCCTGGAGACCCTCCAGCATCGGGAGGCCAGAGAGAAAAGACACTGAGAAGGAGTGACCAGGAAGGTAGGAGGAAAACCAGTAGCCAGCGGAGTCCTAGAAGCCAAGGGGACAAAGTGTTTCCAGGAAGAGGGAGTGATCAATTGGGTCAAATGCCACTGAAAAGTGCAGCACGATGAGGGTTGAAAACTGACCCCTAGATTTCGGATATTGGAGAACACTGGTAGACCAACAGGATCAGCGTTTGACTCCTACCTTCATGAGGCACCACAGTTTGACTACTGACTGTCATTTAGGACTCCCTTATTGTGAATTCTGTATTCTCAACTGTGTTGTAAACTTCGCAACATGAGAGATGATGAGTCAGCCTATCCCCAGTGCACCGGGTCCCCGGCAGGCTTCAGAGCCTCACAGAGCCTGCTTAGGTCCTGATACAGTTTGCTAACAGACCTACCTGAATGCCCTTACCTCTGGGGCACTGACCTGGAGCAATTATCCTCATGCTTGGCTTACCTTGGACGCAGAATTTCAGTTCCTTGGGGTCAGTGATGCCCTTCCTGCTTTCCCTGATCATAGCCCGGTTCTTCTTGGTTTCTCCCCAGAGATTGGTGCCTCCGTACATGCTGGGGATGTTGAGAATGGCAATGCCTTCAAGGAAGATGTTGCTCAGGTCCACCCCAACCCCGTCGCACTGGGGGACAGAGAGAAAAGGCCTTCCGTAAGTGTTCTTAGTGTATCGCAACCCGAGGTGCTATGTGTGTATGTTGGTGTGTGTGCGTGTGTGGATGGTAGGGACTTTCTTAAAGGATGTGACATGTCCTCAGCCAGCACCCTGCCTGCCACTGTCAAAAGCTGAATCTTGGGCAAAGTTGCTCAGGCTTAATGCTTTGACCACTGTAGTGGGATGGGGAGCTCCAGTTGTGGCCAGCTCTGGGGAAGACAGTGCAAGGCACCCGGCGGATCATCGTAGGTCTAAAAGTGCATTAGGGATGGTTCTCAAGTCAATTGCAAAACTGTTCTCCAGTCTAACCTCATTATCATCAATTCTGCCCCTTCCTAACCATTGTGAAGATTTAGTGGGACACTGAATCCAGAACCTAACATATAGCAGATTCTCAAGTGAGCTACGGGCCGGCCCAATATATAGCAGATTCTCAACAAATGGCAGAACACTTTCATTTTATCCCTTTTAATTTTATCCGCCTTGTGAGAAGTACAAGATGTTAAGATTTGTATGGCTTTTAGAATTTGCCCGTCTCCCACATCTGTATTGTAAGTGCAATTCTGGCATATGCAATTGCTGAGGTAGCAAAATTTCCTTATCCAGCCTTTACCACCCGCATCCCCTGCCAGGTACAAAAGGCCAGGAGGTTTGAATTTGCGTGTCTCACATATTTATAAAGTCAGCCCTCTTTGGCATAATGCTTACCAACACAGCAAGAAATATATTAGCTCTGATCCTCATTCCCCAGGATTGTAGCTAGTTTACTTCATTTACAGAAGAAAAAACTGGACCCAGAGAGGCGAGCTAAGTCATCTAAGATTGCACAGCTGATAAATAACAGAGCAGGGATTCAAACTTGGGGATTTCACTACAAAGTCCAAAAATCAAAAGCACACAATAAAAATCTACTGTCCTTGAGGTTACCTACAAATCCAAACTTGCAGAGAATTCTCAGCGAAGGAGAAAGAGAAAGGTAGGGCTTGTTGCCCCTCATATTGACTGACCTCCTGATTTATTTGAAGTTCATAATTTATGTTATCATCATCGCCAAACTACAAAATGTTGTTTCCCCAACTACAAAATGGAATAAAGTGAGCTTCTCTGGTAACTGGAGACTTATTTCTTCATTGGGAAATTCTGATAATTTGAAAAGTCTCTCAAATGTTGATCCAGATTCTCTCTTCTTCTTGCTCCAATCCCTTGGTCCTATTCTTCAGATGCCAGACATCTGAGAATGAGCCTTCAGAAGCCAGACAGAATGAGCCTTCCTTCTCCATCAGGGGCCAGCCCATCAGATACATGCTGATAGTCATCATTATCACTGGGCATCTATATTAAGCATTGCCATCTGCCACATAAGCTTCTATACACATTTCTTTTTTTTTTTTTTTCCTTTTTTTGTCTTTTTTCCTGTCCGGCAACGGACCGCAACCCTCAGTGTCGCGCCTGCCCCTCACTCAGCCAGTGAGTGGGAACTGGTCTGTATGTGGGATCCGAACCCTTGGCGGGAGCGCCGCCGCGCTCCCAAGCGGTGCACTGTAGCAGTGCGCCACCGGGCCGGCCCCTTCTATACACATTTCAATTACTATCTTCATAATAATCCTATACATTAGTTACTAGGACTACCCTTTTTTACATTTGGGGCAACTGAGGCACAGAGGAGGTTAAGTAACGCACTCAGAGTCACACAATTTACAAGTGGAGGTACACAGATCTGACTGCAGGCAAGCAGAGCCTAAGTCTTTACCACTCCTTAATTTCTCCTCCCTCTTACACTACCGTTTGGCTGTGCCTCCTCCGAGCGCTGTCAACTCTCTTAACCCTCTCCTATGGGACTTGGTTTTCAGACCTTTGCTCATCCTGGTTGCCCTGTTTTGTTCACTCCAGTTTGTTACCTTCCTACTTGGTAAGGCCCCAACATCCATGACAGGATCTGACAGGACAGGTGGCAACAACACCAGCACTTGCTGGGGCGGGAATTCTATGACAATTGTGCCCTAGAAATGAGATAATGTGCAAAGGCCATGTAAGAGCTCAGAACATGTTACCCATTACCATTATCCTTACTGTTAAATACGATCAAAGTTGCACTAGCCCTTTTGTTAGCAGCTCAGCATCACATCAGCTTGAACGGCTGGTCATCTCAGTCATCCAGACCTTCACCCTATGATCTACTTCTCAGCCAGCTTTTCCCTATCCCTATCCTGAACTTGTGTAGTTAAAAAAAAAATAACTTAGACATGGGGCTTTACATTTATGCTAATTAACTTCATCTGGCTCTCAGCACAAGCCTCCTCCAGTCTGTCAAACTTATTTCGAATCTTCCTTCTGTGATCCTTTATCACAGCTCTCCTATCATTTGGGGGTTAAGTCATTAATACATGTGTATAAAGGACAAAACAATGACCAATCCCTCCCCTTTGTCAGTTTAACACACCAGTCATCATGTATTAACAGCCCCTGGTGTGGCTGCTTTATTGGGGCTGCATTGTCTGGACTGTACTGTCTCCCAGCTAACTTTTCATTGTAAGGTGAAATCCCGGAACTCAGAAATGAGTCGGGCCTAAGAGGACATGCCTCATCTTTCATAAATGAGGCCCAGTGAGGTTAAGAAACTTTGCTGTGGTCATTCATCTTACTAACAGTGGAACTAGATTAGTATCCATGTCTCCAGACCTCAATCCTACGTTCTTTTCACTACAGCATAAGACATTGTGCTGAGATCAAAAAGCATTTCTTAAATGACCATCCTACGACCTCTATCAGAAAAGGAGTAAGAGAACTCATATTAAGTTAATGCCTGTGTGTAAAGGGCATTTACTTGGTTAATAATCTATTCTAGAATCTTGCCAGGGATCAGAATGAAGTGTGTCAGTCTGTGATTTCCAGAATATACCCTTTTCTCATTTTTTGAAAACTGGGACATTTATGTTTGCCTCTCATTGGCAAATTATCCAAAAGAAACTACACTGTTTTCTGGACTTGTCAAAGTGTCCCCTGAATGACACTATAGGTTCATCCAGCAACTTGGATTCAAATGAGTGTGTGTTTTCCAAGGCCAATTAGTCCTCTGTTGATCTACCTTGGGCTCTGTAGCCACCTTTAACATTTGTTCTTCCATTTTGAGTGTAGGACCACTCTCTCTGAAAAAGATGAAAACTCAGAATTGCAAAGTCCTACTGAGCTATGGTTTTCCATGTTCTTTTTTGCTTCAAACATCATCCAACATTCTGCTTGGCCTTCAGTTTGCCTGTAACAGGCTTTCAGGTCTGATCTGCTTTTGTGTCTTCACACCTGGTTGCTTGCCCGTACCTTGCCTCTGCATGTATGTGTACAGTCCCCTTGAAGCATGGGCTCAACAGACCTATGGTTACTAAAGGTGGGAAAGGGGGAGGGGGAGGGAGGCTAGGGAGAAATTGGGTAAGGGACACAAAGAATAATCATGACTTGTAAGAATGAACATGCTAATAATATTGATTTGATCACCACATATTGTACACAAATACTGATAGTCAACACTGTACCCCCAAAATACGTATAATCAATTATGTTTCAATTAAAAAAAAAGATAGAATAATTTCTGGTGCTCTAGGTCTACTATAGCTAATAGTATTGTATTGTATATTTCAAGATAGACAGAAAAGAGGATCTTAAATGCTATCACCACATAGAAATGATAAATATTTAGGTGATAGCCATGCTAACTATTCTGATTGGATCATTA